CTCTGGTTGCTAGGCAACTGTGTGTGTGATAGCTTCAACTTGTTTTTTGGAGAACAAGTTGCTATTGTGGGCAGCAAGGTTGCCTTTAAAAAATTATGAAATGTTCGTAAGCTATGCAAAAAAATGTATTTTCATATATTATTTAGTTTCTTTTGTTCCTATGAGTCCCATATCTCACAGATGCATGATGCAACAACCACCACCCTTTAAACTGAAGACACATTTTCATCAATTCTAAAATATTCATACATGTAGTGTTTAGCAATGACAACAAATTATGTGATTTTGCTTTTTTTTGATAGAAATGAAAACAATGAGATAATCACTTGAATAAAAACCTGAAAACTAATCTGAATCAGAACCAACAACCCAAATCCAAATATCATATTTTTTAATAACACATAACATTTATTTTTTTCCAAAAATGCATTTTGTGTTTTTGTTCTTGATTGAGGGTCATGGATTGCATCTCCTATGACCCCAATGATGAGTTTTATAAATGTATACTTTACTAATTTTCACTGCTAGAAATTTTCACAGTTTCAGGAATCATGAGAACAAAATTCGGCAAATTCACTGACACTACATGTTGTAGAACTCCAGACAAATAATTTAGTCTCGTGAATTGAGGCTGTTTACGGTAGTAAAAATGCAGTTAAATATTATATCTAATATTTTTTATTATGTTATTTTTAATTATTAGGAATAAACAATGAATAAACCAATCATGTATCCAGAAAAGCCAAAATATCGTCGTCTTGTTGATTTGACTGAAATTCGTAAAGGTGATCAGTTAGCACAGCCTGGTCTGCTAAGTATATACACCCATCATCTACTGGCAGCCGAAGATGGAGTTCCCGGAAAAACACTTTGTGTTGTTCATCTCAATGGAAATGTGGCATTATATTCTGGAAGTATTTTTGGTAAAGTCATGGAAGAAAATATAGATGTTAATTTACAAAAACAAATATTTTATCGTGTCGAGTACAACAGTGTGAAAGTATTTAGTCCAGAGAAAGTGCTCAAGAGGGCAAGAGAGAAAATTGGTATCGGATGCTACTCCGCAGTTTTTTTCAACTGTGAACATTTTGCTACATGGTGTAAAACAGGCCAGTATGTGTGCTTTCAGTTGTCCGATTGCCTCCTGCGAAAAGCTTTCGCAATTTTTATAGACTGTATTCTAAAGCCAAAACAGTTCATTGGACATCTTTCAAAAACTATCTTTAAGTTAATTGCTGATGGAATTGAGAGTTTTATTATTTTTATGATCGAAGTGATCACAAGTCAGTCAACATGGAAGATTCTAGCCACTCGACAATTGACTGCAAAAGGAGCAGAAAGACTATCTGCGTCATCACTCGGAACTACAGCTGGAGTTACGTTTGTGGTTACTGCTGTGCCGGAAATTGTTATATACTTCAATGAAACAGCAGAGTTATGTAACCAGTTACAAGAAGGTATAATAGATGACGAACAGTACACGGAGGAGATGCATCAGAAAACGGTCGGTTCCATGGGAGCTATAGTTGGATCGGTAACCGGTGCTATGGTGGGACAAGCTATTGTTCCTGTGCCTGTATTGGGTGCAGTGGTTGGAGGAGCCACAGGGACTCTAACGAGGAAGTTTATCGGTAGATTTATCGGACGATTGCTCTTCCTCTGGAATGTTATGTTGTGGATTGTGCAAGCAATATGTCTTTTAACTGAGAATTCATTAAGTTTTCACTGTTAAATGGGTGACACATTTAAATCCTAAAACTGTCAGCAACTGTACCTCAGTAATCTTGGAGTTAAATTGATAATTATCCAAATTTACCAAAGTCTTCAGTGACTGGTAACCCAGTATCATTTGGCTGCATCAAAAGTACCAAGCAAATATATTTTCTTATTCCCCATACCTCCAGAATGCTGAATCCTGAAGTAGTGTTTTTTGTGAACAATTCACCAAACTAGGTAGTCCTAGATGAGAAAATTCGCAACACCTGGTGTTGACTTTGACAAATTGGAGAAATCTGTATGGCAGCTGCAAAACTTATTATTTTTGCTGAATTGTTTTTAGCACTGCATGGCTTGTCATTAAGTTTCAAACTTTCTTTCCCGAAATGTATATTGCTTATATATTTAATATACTGCATAGTCTGTTATGGCAAGTGAATTACAATTCATTTGTGCAAAGGATAATTTTACTTGTCCTGGTTTATAAGACCACCCTTAATATTTAGCACTGGTAATTTATCTATTACTGAGATTGAGATTTGATCACATACTGCCAAACCTTGAAAAAACATCCAAAATATTAAATACAAATTTTAACAAAAGTATTACCTCAGGAGAAAAAACCAAAAGAAAATGTTGGTTAATTTTAATGATGTGAATTATTTTAAGAATGTCAGATTTCTTTTAAAAATATGTTGAATTAATCAGAAATTGTATTCCTGTAAACACAGAGGAAGTGGATCTATCTTGTGAATAATTTTAGTTTGACCTTGATCTTGTTAGCCCCATGCACTTTTACATTGACTTGACTCGTAAGGTTTATTTAATTATATACTAGGACTACCAATGGGCATAACAACCCTGTAAAGACACAAACAAACAAAAAATAAGAATTATGGTTATGAATTACATTACACCATATTATAAAAGACAAATTATAACTGATTTTAACTAGTTGGGAAAAGTAAACTTACCACTAGATATGTCAATATGAGAATTCATTTTAACAACATTATAGCAATAAACGATGGTGAACACTTTGTTATAGTTATAAGAGATCGACCAATTTGAAAGAGATCGGCTGAGCATAACCACCATGTTGAAGTCTAAATGAAACTTTCCTTAAAGTACTGGGTAAGATAGACCAATTTAACAGAACACATTAACGATATTATATAAAAACATACCATCTAAAAATAAATGCTGTTTACAAAGTGTGGGTAAATTAAAAAAAAAAGACTACTTAAATTACCATAGTTATCAGAATCATACACAACACTAAAGTTGTAAAATAAATTTGTGCTGTACTCATTCGAGTTTATAAATGCATGTTTCTTGCCACAGAGACCATATTGTACTACAATTTTCAAGTTGAATTTTGACAAAACTCGCATACAATAAACGTAGAGTATTAAAACTAATGTTCAAGGCTATTCGTGAGCATTTAAAGTGCCGGTGCAATGCCCACCCTCACGTTTCCCATTTTAGATCTGTGTCCCACTGAAATGGGCAGTTATTGATTTTTTGCTGAAAATGATTACTCGTATCCAAGTAAATTTGGGATATTTCTCGTGTTGTAGCCACGCCCACCTATACTGAAATGGTCGACTGTTTCCGGATTTCCGACTCTCGCCGAAAGTGCGCCACCATATGACAAAATGTGAGAGGAAGTCGTACCCCTGAGCCGTAATAACGCTGGTCATTTAGTATACTTTTAAACGATATACATTTTTCGATCAGGTTTTTTTTTTTTTTTTTTTTTTTGTCTATTTTATTTTTTTTGAGAGGGAGTTTTTAGATGTTGTGTTGTGGGCAGTTGCAGTGAAACGTATAGTCATTGTGTAAGTATTCACACGTTTCTAATCGATCCGAAGGTGCGACATCAGTGGACGAAAGCCACTTAACCTCAGATTCCAGCGACAGTGTACAAACATGCGCCAGTGTCGGCAACAATCACGGTGACCAGCTACACCAGAACGGACATATTTCGCATCTAACTGAACCCCATGCAACAAAAATTGATACTATGTGTTCTTTATGGTCCATTCTTCTTCGACGAACAAGTACATAAGCGACAATTTAGTCAAAGACGAGAAAACAGCACAAGAAATTTGCCTTATTTACACTTATCGGCAATGCAAGCTGCCATGCGACTTCCCCTTCTGACATCACAAGGGCAATTTCTGTATGCAAATGAGAAGCTAATGAGGAGCCTCGTTTTAAAATACACAAAAATAAAGTTGCCGTAGACTGAGTTTAAAACACTTTTTTTCACTTAAAAAATAATTCATGCTTAGAAACATAAAAATTAATAATATTTATGTATTAATGAATAATTTTAGGCGTGAAAATAGCAGCCATTTCACAGGCACTTTAACCTATTAAATAGGGATGCATAATATCATATTTTGTCATAAATTATTATATAATTATTGATTTTGACAGTGTGACGTACTATTTTTAGATCTGGGTTTTGTGAATAACTGCATAAAATAAATCATCTTATTAAAAGTTGATGACATCTGATGATCTCTTTAAAAGTAGTCAACTACATTAGAGTGATAACATTGAAAAGGACTGACTTGAGTAGTCTGGAGAACAGTATTGGTGGAGTTTAGGCTGCCCCCCAAAATGTTGCGTTTCTGGTCAGCATGGGCATCACCAAAAAAAGTGCAGGCTGATTTTCTTTAATGTATTTCAGTGCCCTCTGTGCACAAATTGATGAAACCTGCAATAATCACCTTACCGCCCTATTTTTGTAAAAGATTTTGACTAGAAACATTTTTTGCGAGGCTTGTACAATGGTGCTCGAATATTCACAAAATAGCTTTATTATCAGAAATATTTTTCTGAAAATTCCAGTAACTTAGAAGTCTGAACTTTGAATACCTGTCACTAGAGACATGTCTTTGGTTAACTTGTAATATTTATTGTGTAACAACTTGTTTTACTGATTTGTGCATGAGAACTAAACATATCATAGTAATAAAAAAAAAGTTCGAACAAATGTCTCCTTCATAGCTGACTTGTTCATTAAGTTATTGTACTTTGTATGTGTGGGTCACGCTCATACTTGTGTATAATTAAATTCATTAACATACCACAATGCAACGAGTGAGCAAACGGTTTGGTAATTAAAGGCCTTAACAAAATATTTCTTTTTGGGTCAGTGTGCACACTGCAAAATAGGCACTGCACAGTGTCCTCTGTTGACAGAGTGATGAAAACTTGCAAAATTTGTGTGCCACAAAATATTATACACAAAATTGTTTTTTACAAGAATTCAATCGTGGATGATCAAGAAGCCATAACAAGTAAAGTACTGTGGATACAACAAAGTACAGTGCAAGGACTTGCGCTTTAGTTGCATATTGTACGTTCTTTTACCTTGTCATGATCTGCATGTTCTCTCATTGCCATATTGTTGTTTTTTTCAAATAAATGATTTAAGTGAAATAAGTGTTTTTACTGGTATTTGATTTGTGTACTGCGTATACGATATGGTATGAAACAAAGATTGGTCATGTGCAGCTTTTAGGTCATGTTTTAAGTCCGAAAACTAGTAGTTCCATGTGCGTTAACATCTGTATCTCAGAAATGCCCAACTGATTATGTTCAAACGTCATGTCGCACATGCAGTATGCAAATGAATTTGTATTGAGACCTAATCAATGACAGCCAATGGTGATTTTTATGCAAAAGTAAAATACCTCAAAATTAAGCATCATGGTTGCTTATGGACAGATGTCATTTAAACTCTTCTCTATTCATATCCTTATCGAGACTGGTTCTACTGGCAGCCATTTTGTTCACTGGTAAAACTGATGTTGTTCCAGAGCCATATCTCTACTTCCCTCTATGCACATGCTTTGACGGACTGCAATCAAACTTTACATCTCAGTCCTGGTCCTGGCAATTTCCACAATAATTTCATATACTTTTTCCCTCCAAGTGGGATGATTTGTGGGTACAAATCAGCATTTTCACTGAAAAATTGGGGTATACCAGATTTGTTGTACAAGTACAATGTATGCTACATATACCAAGTCTGTTATTAACCAATCAAAATGCAGTTTGGTATTGATGGAATTCATGGAGAATTGGCAATGACTTTTTTATTGCAATTTGGAAGTGAATTACTGATATTGAAGTGCAATTCGTTTTTAGTGAAATTTTAGTGAAAAAACAGCAAAATACAAGGGTTGAACACTGAAAGCGCATTTGATTGATTGTGCGAGTCCTCTTTTGATGGGCAGTACAGCACACAAGTACAGATTTTTCGATAAATTAATCATCCTCCAAAAAGAACGACCATACAATTATTCATGTGTACATAACAGACATTGTTTACTGTTGTTTTTTCAGCATTTTTGAATATACCCAGAATATAAAAATCATGCAACAGTAAGGAGTGGGTGTAAACTTGGCTGAATACAATATTGTCTCTCTTGTACTACAGTCGTCTTGAATAAGGCTGCAGCTATAGTGCTGTAGCCTGGGTGTAGTTGGCTGCACTCCATTGGTCATCATGACTCGCCTATATCAGTCAACCATGAGGGACTCTGTCCCATCATTTTATTGTTAAATATACCAAGATATAAAAAAGAATAATGTCAATAAACAACATATTAGTATGAAGCATTTCAGTTAAACATGGCTAAAAATTGGAGCAAACCGCAACAAGTTAGTATTGTACTTTTTATTTTCAATTCTACATAAAATACATGATTCTGTTTAAAACAGAACTACAGTGTGTGGACAGCAAATGTTCTTTTAAAAGAAAGATTATTTAAACGCTTTATTTACACAGACTTCAGTTTTCATATAAGAAAAGTAATATAAAAGAAGACAAGAGAAAAATATCAAGCAAAATCTTCTTATCTTGGTTCTAATTATTGTAATAGTATATAGAATAACATGACATTGTGAGTATGTATATATTTCCATCAAAACCGATATCAGTTGTCGTCCAAGCACATACAAAGATTTATCCACCACACGGTACAAGTTCCTTGGTACAGGATCATCACTGTTTCAGTCCCAGAGTTTAATAAGTCCATCCCATCCACACGTTATAACTTTAGATGTTTCATGTGGATGCCAGATACATCCAATACAGACACCGTCATGTGCTTTCATTTTACTGTAAAGTTTAGTGCTCTTCCAATCCCACAGATTCAGCTTTCCGTCTGCATCCCCAGATACAACGTAACTGAAATTAACAAGTTCATGAAAGTATGATTAAAATATGTACCTATAGACTGCCACACTGTGACATCATTTGTTTTAATTTTTGTCAACCAGCGTGCGAATGTCTGATAAATGTTGCTCACTGATCATTACTTCTTTGCGATCTGTGAGGGGTCCAATGATGATTTTAAGAGAGTTGTGGACAAAGAAGGCCACTACACCAGAGGTTAAAACTACATACCAGTATGTCCTGGATTTGCGAAATCGCCTTGAAGAGACATGTAAATTGGCTCAACCTGAGTTAGCTAAGGCAAAGGTTTGATACAAAAAGTATTATGATAGCAAGGCCAGGGATAGGAAGTTCCAACCTTCTAACCAACACTGACATTTGTGTTGATAAACATCGATTTTCCGACAATCCAATGCGCTTTTCTAAGAAAATCACTAGTATAAGTAGGGTGCGTTTTGCACTAATTACCTCTTGTGACTCCTTTGATACCTTCCAATAACCCCCCCAAAACATTACCTAATTAAAGCTTGATAATGTCTCAGTTTCTATTCGTTGGTCTGGGTATCAGTCAATATTGCCATCTTTGTTTATACATGTGTGAGACCCACATCTCGCGTATGCCCTTTAAACATGTATAATTTAATAACAGCAGCAACAAACAATGCCATTATGTTATCTCTGGATTTAAATGATTAGTTTTTGTCAACCAATCACTGCACACTTGTACATGCACAAAAGGTAACAAGTGTGACCATCTTTCATTGTTAGCGTCACACATATATAAAACAAGAATATATTCCAACTACCGTAAAATCGGTATTAGAAGCCGCATCCTTAATAGAAATCGCACCCATTCTTTTTGAATAATTCATCATTTCTCATATGTGTAGATGCTGTAATAGAAGCCGCATCCCCTCTGTTGGATTGTACCATTTCAATAGAAGCCACGGTTTCTAATACAGATTTTACAATACTGTTTATTTTATTGCCTGTCGCGGGGTTCCCCTTCTTTCAATGATATTGCAGGAGCATTTCAATTTGTAGGGGGGGGGGGCAAACATTTGCATAATGTTTGTTTTGCACAAAGCTTAGCATCCTGTATTGTAATTCTTGAGATTGTTCAATTCAGAGAAACAAGTAAAAAAAAAATTAAATAGTGATGTTGAAAGAATTATTATCAAAATTATTTATGAATACCTCATATCTGGGGAAAAGTCCATCTGACAAGCATAACCAGCTACCATGTGACCTTTAAAACACTTTTTATGATTCAACTTGAACCTATTTTGTGCTGAGAATATCACAATCTGATTGTCCATGGATTGGCATCCTAACCATTTACCTAGAAATGAAAATGAAGATTGGTTGCAGGGACTGTTACAGAATTCTAAAGTATGACAGAGTAAAAAAAGAGAAGTATTTGTACATGTATCACATGTCAGATGAATTGTACATGAATTCACTGACAATTTTCCAAGACTATTTTTTCAATCTCACATGATCAACAACAAGTACACAGTCAGTGATGCCATCAATCATCAAGTGTGTGCAAGAGGTGGCATAACTAATTTTATTCACCAGACCAGACAAGAAATTCTTGGTATAAGCGGTGAGCAAAATTTTTCTTGAAATCGAGGGGGAATCTTTTCACATATACACATGCATCCAGAACTTTTTGTTTACACTTATTTTTACAAATTCAGCAGTGTATGTACTTCCATACCACGTTTTAAAGACCACGCTAACTTTCAGATATCCTCGGGGGCGGAGCTACGTCACAGACGTTCCACGTTGCTAAGACGCGCATCACTGTACCACGTATTTCTACGGGCTTTGTGCGCGCTACTGTGGTACGCCGGTGGAGCCGGTGAAAATTCGAGAAAACAACACAAACTCAACTTTGAAGTAATCCTGAACAACCAAATCCATATATGTTACACACGTAGGGCTAATCTTGTTACACTGTTCAGGGGACTCGCAAAGTACCGTTTTCTGCGAGTTTTTGGTCTTTGTTTTCACCGCGAGGGTTGCCAGGCGGTAGAAAATGCCCGGATGTCCGCCCCCGAGGATACCAGAAAATAATCAATACCAGCTGACTCTTCTACCCACCCCCAATTTAGTTCAAAGTGTGAACCATTATCTGTTTCAAGGGGAAATTTTGCGCATTGTTTACTACCGTAAAATCTGTATTAGAAGCTGCGGCTTCTATTAAAATGATACAATGCAACAGAGAGGATGCTGCTTCTATTAGAGCATCTACACATATGAGAAATGTCTGCTTCTCATTTGTTCAAAAAGTATAGGTGCGACTTCTATTAGAGATGCGGCTTCTACTACAGATTTTACGGTACAAGGATTATTTATCTAATTTGATGACTGATAATTTCCAACACTCTGCCCACCTTTGACCTACCTACAGTGCGTGCATGGATAACTCACACAATAGGAATTTTATTACATATTTATATCACCATGGTTATAAAAGTTCTCATAAATCTTTGATTACATAGTATTGAAATAACTCACCATTTGGACTGAGAGTTACACTTGGCATGGAATGCATACTAGGTTCAGCAATGTATTTAAAATCCACTGGAATATCCCATTCCCAGACTCGTAAACTCTTGTCGTCTGAGGTAGAGACAAACCTCCTACTGTCATCAACAAATGTTATAGAATTGACAGCACCGAGATGACGGTCATACTCCTGGACAATATCACCAGAGTTCAAGTCCCACTGAAAAACAGAAGAATATGATGTTTTATGAATAGCAGTAATTTCTATAATGTACAGCATACAGAAATTGATACCATTGCAGATGTAAAAAAAGAGTCCGCCAGTCGGCCATTGTGAATCAAAACCTAAAACAAAATAAGGTGCATCAGTAACCAACAATGAGAGTTGTCAATACCAAGTTTGAATGAAATCAGCCAAGGCAATCCTAACAAACTGCTTTCAAAGAAATGAAAAACAAATCAACAAACCTATACTACGAATTGTCGTTATGCCAGCTTTGAACAAAATTGGTCTACACTTGTGTGAGAAATAGTGTCAGATGCACACACACATAAGTAAGCACAGACGAAACCCAAAACACATCCAATGGAAACTAATGAGAGAGTGCTTTATTTGAGATCAGTCTGAAACACAAGTTCTGATTGGCCAACCAAGACCTGAATGCATAATTATTATTCACATTTAATTAATATAACAGACGATTACCTGTACTATTTTCTTATCAGCCATTCCAGTTACAAATAAATGTTGTTTGTCTTCGGCAGGATTGAATCGGACACAGTAGGGTACTTTACGATTAGTAAACCTTGATATGCACTGACCTAGAAATGAGATACAAAGGTACATCAATTTGTTTGCAATATTTATTGTTAGATTGCGGCTAATGCAGTCATGTGTCCTGTGATATACCATATGTATCAAATGTGAGAGTCAGGTAAGTGTCAAAGTTCTGGAACATATTCCATGCCAATTAAGGAATGTTTGATACATTTTTTTTCAACTAAAATGGGCACCAGTCAGCCATTTTAACGATGTTCGATACAGTTGCACAAAATTATTGAGAATTTTGTCATTATTGGTACACTGGGAGATTACTCCAATACAACCTATTGTAGAATAAAAATTAAAAAAACATGGGTCACAGACATTGTTTTATAGAGAAAATCATATGTTTACTTTACACAATGAAATACATGCCTAAATACTCACCAGTCTCTGTGTCCCAAAGTTTAATATATTTATCATACGCTGCACTGAGAAATTTAGTGCCATCATTATTAAAACATGCATCACGTACGGCCATTTTATGACCTAGAAATGAACGAAGAACTCGCTTTTCATTGTAGAACTCCCAGAGCTGCAAACAAACAAAAACATTAACTTTAACCCATTATTAAATACAGACAAATATTAAATACAACACAAAGCTGATCGATCAATAATATAGACTACTAGTAATTTTTTCTATTGCAAATACCAGATGTTGTTGATTATGTGACTTTATAATTTCTTGAGAGCTCTATTAGCCAGCTTAATATTTTATTCAACCAATGGACACAAGAGTTTTATAACGACACAGCCATTGTCTTTGATACGCATTCCATGCAAAGTGCCAATAATTTATTGAATGTAAATACACATTGTTTGTTTTAACACAAAATATTAGCATGCTGGGCAGTGTTTTGTTTTATGAAATTTAGCTTTTTTGTGATTAGAAATGATAGAAGGAAATTGTCTTGTGGTGTTGGTAAAACATAACTAAACTATTCTATTCTATTCAGACCTTACTTTCTAAGGAGAGTGATCCCATCAATCATCTATCACTTGTCTGAATCAAGACCCACAAAAGTTAGCACTCACCCAATGGCAATCCATACCATGTTGAAGATATTTTAATTAGCTTTTCTAATCACCCACTTTACTATGTTCTGGAAAGCCATTTTTAGCTCTCAGGCTATTGCAAATACTGTAAAATACTTTATTTTTGCTATTTCGCTGAAGAAATGATTTAGTGAAAATAAAATCCAGCAAATATACCCTTTTTCCTATATTTTACATTCAACTTGTCAAAAATCTATACAAAACACCCAAAAGGTCTTTTCAGCGAAAATTAATTCCAACTAAAATAAAGTATTCTACAGTAAACAGTTTTTTCTTACCTTTATTTTTGTATCCATGCCACACGACAGTAGTAAGTGTCCGGACTTTGGAAACAATCTGATGGAAGCGACACCTTTTGTATGTCCAGTCCATGTATGGATATGTTTTTTAGGAAGATAACACTTTTCAGGAGGTTCTTCAGATCGTAGATCCACCTCTAAGTCTTGTGGTATATGTAGGTATGATCTTCCTTGGTAATCGTAGGCATCTTTTACTACAGGATTAAAAATGAAGAAATATGTGAACTTTGACAAATGAGCAACACCCCTCGTCTGCTACAATGTATAAGACCAAAAAAAAATGTTACTTTTGAAGAATCGATGCACTTTAACATTTGTTTTTATTAATGTAAAACATGTTGAAAAAGCGACTTGTAATTTTAGCAAATTGTGGTAAAATGACATAATAGCGAAATGTTGATTTAGCGAATCTCTCTTGTCATTTTTGATTTTCAGTTTTCACAATACTTGTCTGTCACATTGCCAAGACAAATGTGCTGTTATCACCTCCATAAAAAGAAGGAAAAACTGTCAAGTGTAATTAGAAAGCGCTCCAGATTATTATGTTCCGGATTACTGTATACAAATCCCAAAGCCTTTGCCATTTTGAATTTATAAGTCATTAGCGACATCTTGAATTAGCGAATCAGTTCTCTCGCTAAATTCGCTAAAAAGACATGCTCGCGAAAAAGACATGTTTTACAGTATCTTCTAAGAGAAGATATTTGCTCGATGTTAATCTTTATTAACCAATGCTATTGGGTACATGCGTTAAATGTACAAAACATCTTTAGAAAAAGAAAACAAGCATCTCCCCATTCTATGTACAGTATAACTGCATTCAAAATTGCAGGTAAAGTTGCAGGTTTCAAACTGGCACAAGAAGAAAAAACATTTTTTTTGGGGGGGGGCTCAGACAGCTAAAATATTGCAAAAAACATAGATGTAGTAAAATTAATAATTGCACATTCAGGTGTGTATCGATAATTCAATTTCACATATTGTACATAGCTTATTTATTAGGTGCTAAATTACAAAGAAGGAGAAGATGCAGAATGTTTTTTTTTTTTTTCACAAACCAGTGAATTTAAAATCTAGTGAATATCCCTGCAACATCAAATTCTTTACTAGTAAATCCAAAAGCAGGTTCAGTGTATATAAAAATGTATTTTTTCACTGGATTATATATTTTCATTGTAAAAGTAAAATTAACTTTCTGCATTGTTTTTTTTTTTCAGGGGGGGGGCAGGTACAGAGACAATTTTATATGGAATGAGCAATTTCTTTCACTGTGGCTCTCGTATCTGTATACATGTACAAATTTTCTGCTTGTTTTTTATTTTCACCACCAGTTCCCTCTTTTCATCACAAATTCACAAAATAGTCCCTTTTAAAAACTAAAAATTTACTCAAATTTGTTTCTGTTGGCTCCAAAATTAGGTTTCATTTCAAAAAATAATGAAGAATCTAAGAAAATAAGTGCAGACAATTTTTGGCTGAAAAGTGTGAAAAAGTTCATGGATAAGTACACTACTGATATTCTATATGCCGTGACCTTACTATGCAACGTTGTTTTCTCTTCTGTTGGCTTGTCATCCGTCCGTTGTCTTCTGTTGCTGCGTTTGGACAAAATCTCATCCAGTACTTCTTGCTCCTCCTGTAACAGGTCAAAGAGGAGTATATATGTAAACTGTATGAAAGCCACAGTTAAGTATGTATGTGACTAAAACAGAACTGCAAACCACCAAGAGATCACAAACAAGATACAAAATGATGTAAAATGGATGTCATAGTTTTGGTTGACAATTAGCTCTTCAAGTTGCTAAAACTGTATGTCCACCTCTGTTTGGGCAAACATTTGTATAATGCCATACATACATGTTTGTATGCAGGATAAGTTAATTCATGATTCAAGCAAAAAATGGCCAGCTGGCAGCCATTTTGTACAGATAATTTGCTATATCCTGATACTCAAGTGAGTCCGAAGCTGTTTCGCGAAGATACAATTGTAAATTTCATTTAATGCCAATGTCAATTCCTTACTAATACATCACCTGATTCAGTTGAAACTTACCTCACTTGGTTTGGCAGTAGTTTTTTCATCCACAAATTTCCCCCACGGGCCTTGAAACTCATCTATGTTTGATGGGTCGTTCAGTTTCACTTTCTTTCGTTTGTCACCCACCCTGGGTTTACTTGTTTCAAATACTGTTTTACCTAGAATTAAGTTTTGAAATTATATATTAAATCCAAATCTTGTGTTCTTCGAAAAAAAAAATACTTATAATGTACTGATTGCAAATATAACAATTTCTATATAACAAGTATTTTCAAGTACTAGCCGGTCTATATAACAGAGCTGCATCAAGAATACTGTAAAGAGCAATCAAAAGAAAAACAATACAAATAAAGCAGATTTTCTGTACACTTGAATTCTATCATTCACCTCAATATAAATGACTTTAATAATTATTGTTTTTAAAAATCATTTTTTCAGCAAAATTTCGTTTTAAGCCTTTGAGATATTATGTAATAAATGTAATAGGTTTAGTATTCATAACATATACACATCAGAAATTCCTGTCAATAGCCAAAATATCATCTTGCAGTTCCATGTGTCCGGTTGTGATAAATTTTTCAGTATTTTAGTGTGTCATCAAGTCACCGAATCACGCATGGGATTGCTAGCTTGATGAACAAAAGTGTAATAAAATCAATATTTGATGTGAAGTACTTTCCAGTAAGTGTTGTCTGAAATGTAAGCCATACTCGTTAGACCCCTTCATTTTGATTTTATAGAAGCAAGCTTTGAATACTAATATGTTGTTCCTAGGTTAGTTGTATTTAGCTCGCCGAGCACCAAAAACAGAATTCAAGCAGCAATGCATGATGGGATTTATTGTGCACAGGGTTTGATCTGTATAACTCGCGATTGTTGTAAATTCAGATCTGATTTTTGACCAAACTATTCAAATTTTAAAGAGTTTCCAACTAAGTTTTGCTGACAACACAACTTTAAAACTAGTACGGTACTAGCTGTTCTTTGTTTGATGCAATTTTACCCAAGATGCAAAGCATCAAACAGAATAAAAACATTGCAAAACCACACACATTTGTATTTAAGAAACTGTGAAAGGAAATAACAGTGAAAATGAATGCCATTACAGTATTCGGTTGTTACTAATACAAACATCATTTATTCAATTATTTTCTCTTGACAAGTTACTGTAAAATACTTTACTTTAGCTGGATCTAATTTTTGCTGAATTCGCTTTTTGGGTGTTTTGTATGGAATTTATTTTCACTGTTTTTTCGCTGGATTTTATTTTCACTGAATCATTCCTTCAGCGAAAATAGTGAAAATAAAGTATTCTACAGTATAACAAACATTGCTATTGGTTGTAATAAAATACTACTGAGATGTGGAAATGGAAATATAAGAGATATGGAAATCTAATTAAAAAAAACAAGTTCTCAGTTTTTCGTGTACACCGGCTTGTACCTAAAAATTTGTTTTAGTTGAATATACACCATAACATTTATCCACAAGAGGGCAAAATGCCTCTTTTTCAAATGATAAAAAAAAAGATATTTTTTTCACGGCCTTGCGCATACAAAGCATACAGTAGTACAATGTACTGGTAAGATACATTAATAACAAGCAACATATGTACTGTATTTATAACATCACTCGTAACAGACACAATTGAAACAGCATGTTTCAATGAGAGATTACTCTAAGTTTAAACATACCTTCAGTTTTCTTAGCTTCAGAAACTTCTCCCACATATTTTCCTCCTTCAAGATTTGCCGAGTCAACAGTTGGATCTAACGCATAGCCTGTGGAAAGTGTAGAAAGTCAAGATGGTAAGTTCGAAGAAACAGACAAAGAAGAATGGACTTGAAGTGATCTTAGTAGCTTGAACATGACGACAGTGAACCACAGATAAATGTATGATAAATTATATCAAAATACAAAGAATTATGGGAAAAAGTACTCTGAAGGATGCTATTTTTATACATGTATGTACAGAGTTAATTGTCAATTTCATTACAGTGTAATGTAGCAAAATTTCAAAAAGATAATAATAAAATACTGTCATTTTAGTTGGCATGCTATTTGAGATGTTGAATTGTTCGAGTTACATACATCGAGTTACGAACATTGAGTTATAAAAACATCAAGTTACAAAAATGACCACATCCATACTTTAGAAACTACGCCCAAATTGTAACTCGAACGTTTAGTAGCTATTTTAGTGTGCATGTGTTTTTTAGGAAACAACCTATTTTAGGATGTTCTTCAGTCCATAGTAATTTCTTTCATTTGCACATAAAGTACATCCTCACAATCAGATGTGGCATTTTAGCTAATATAAATATTACATGCAGCTACATCTGATATTAAAATTAAATTCATGTGTTCACATAAAATCTGGAAGTTTACAACCTAGTGAATCTGCTCAAAATAGTTAATTAAATACCAGAGAAAAGTTTAAGCTTTTACGGTAAATTTGTGTTTAAATTCACTAAAATGGCATGTAGTTATAGAAAGTGGTTTAGAAATTTAGATGTTAGGAATTCACTTGATTTGAAAATGGTATTAGTGGTTACAAATTGGTTTAATAAACCGCTGGAATGTGTGTTTACAACCTTGCTACAAAATATCACAATTTTCACTTGCACTCTACTCACAAAAATGGGCCTCTAGGGAAATTATCGAAATCAGATTCAGTATAAATGTAGATGTCGTCATATGTAACAGACCAACAGTCAACAGACCACTTTTGAAATCCAGCATTATGCAGGAAATCGATTGTAAAAACTGAACAAACAAAAATTGTAGAATCAAAACATTGTGGTTAACAAACACTAAAGTATTTTGGTGGTATTTTAACATTTAATAATGTGCTATACACATTTGATGATGACAAATTTTGATAAATTAAGGGTATCTCACGCCATGTTGACATCTGAAGGCATCAGCATTTCAACACTGAACTCTTAAAAATTTAAAATCAAATAATTCAATTATCGTGGGAGACATTTCCTCCACATGTTTCATGCATAACATGAGATCTCTTAGAAATTTTGAATATCCACAATTAACCAACATTCGTATGCAAATTAACATGCACGACTATCACTCACCGTAACTTGTAAATGTTCTTCGCTGCGTTTCAAATGTAAATGCATTGACATGAGCATCTTCCACGTAGCCAGCCAGCGTGTTCTTTGGCGCCGCTTCCTGTTTGGTTTTGTAAGGATTTGCAGGTCCAATCTGGAAGAGTTGCAGCACAATAAAAACAAAACTGTCAATTTTAAAATATAAATTCACACCAAGACATGAAAATTAAAGTGACACAAAGAAAATTAAATGGAATAGGCATATCAATCTGAACTGCTTAATCCTACACAAAGTGTGACAATAAGGCCAGACTTTTATTATCCCTTGTTTCGCAAACCCGCCGAATGAACAGGAGCCGAAAATGAAATAAAAATAAAATTTTATTTCAGCGTAATTTCTCGCGCCCGCTGACTTGTAAGTGCAAAAAATTGCTAAAAAAAACCATATTTTTATCTTCATGTTTTTTTCCGCCCACTGCATAACAAACCCAAGTTGCATTTTCGTGAGAGTATCATGATCAAAGTACCGAAGTCTTGAGCAGACGAGAAACAAGGTTATAATGGAATAAAATTGTATTTCATTTCTTCTCTCCGATCAATGATCTCACTTACAATTCTTTGAGAACCACACAAATCTAATGAGAAAAAAGAATTAATTTTATTTTATTTTTCACCCTCAAAAAAATTGCCTTATAAAACTCGAGAAACAGATAAAAAAGTCTGGCCTAAAAAAAAAAAAA